CTCACTCACTCACTCACTCACTCACCCACTGACCAGTTCATAACATACCCGATGCGCCGACTAAGAGGTATTTTTTTTACAAAAAATAACTCAAAAATGGCGCCAAATCCCATAATTTCTCAAATTTATTTTTTTGTGACGACACACTTTAGGACTCTATTTGATGAGCAAAGACTCAGTTGTGTTGAGAAGAAAACAGCTCGCGTTCGGTGAGCGTTTAACTTGAGTAATTTAGAAACCCATTCAGTGAAAGATGACCAATTTTCAGGGAATTCTGGCGTTTTTGAAGGCTGAAATTGCAACGAATTCAACTCGTAGGGAGCCAAAAACTATGCACTTTGAATGACCGCGTGTGAGGCCGTCAAGTTGCGGTCGAGGACCGAAGATTTTAACATCAACAAGCAGGAGCAGCCTAAAGGGAAATTTCCATGGTTCGTATGAATTGAAAGGTCAGTGTAGACAGTGGATTCTCATAGCTGTTTGTAAGGGGTGTCTGGAAAACCCGAATAGCGAATAGCGAATAGTCTCGAATAGTGCGAATAGTGGCCAACAATCGCGAAAAGTGGCGAATTGTGACGAATAGTCGTCAATAGTCACCGCTTTAGGTCTAATATCCTGCGTTAATTAATTATCCAAATGAGCAACAGAATTTCAGTGAATTTATTACCTTTTCTTCTCCGGACTCAGGCTCGGGCTGTCCATCGCCGTCATTAAGAAAACAGAAAACACAAGGATAACCCAATAAAGACGTATTTACGCTTTTGGAGCGGTTAAAACAGAAGAAACTATCTTTAGAAACACCTTTTGTCCTGATAAGCGTCTGTGCTTTCTAGCGGGAAAATCCCATCCTACGTTGCTGCGAGGTTGACTGCGAGATACTGGGTACCCTATCTGCTACGATTTGCCACTAATTTGCCACTATTCGCCACTATTCGCCACTATTCGAGACTGTGCGCCACTATTCGCACTATTCGAGACTATTCGTACTATTCGCTATTCGCTATTCGGGACTATTCGCTATTCGCGACTATTCGCTATTCGCTATTCGGGTTTTCCAGACACCCGTTTGTAAGGTCTTTTAGAGTGAAACGGCCAGGATTGCGTAGCGTTGCGTGACAGAGAGATGAACAGAACTGAACTGGACAGGCTGGACTAAACTTTGCTTAGCTCCAAAACCCTTTCTAGTTGAAAGTTAACATTGCGACAGATGACGTTCTTAGATCCGAGACCGTGGAGTTCGAATACCGGAATTTTTCGGTGATTGATATAATTCAGGGGCACCCAACGGATCGTTTCGTTAAATTACCTGTTCTGTTGAATCCCGGCCTATTTTAAAGAGAGTTGTCCCTGTTGTTTTCGGATTGATAATAAAAATTTCGTTTTTGGTACCGAAAAAAGATCGGCTATGATTCTTGGAAAAGCACTTTTATAAGAGCTAAGGTTTTCAGGGAATGGACATAAAAGCCTTGATATTAAAATTTGACAAGACTAAAGTTCCCCTAGAATAATCGAACAGATAAAATAATTTTTATCGCGCGACCTAAAATTAACTCAAGCTGGTTAAAAACAGAGCAGATAGCCTAAAGCAGTCAAAGCAGCGTTATGAGAAACAAACACATCAGGTCGTTGGTACCCCCGTAATTTACCATGAGTGAGTTGAGAGTGTGTGACAGGATTTTTGTTATGGGTCACGAAAGGACGAGGCTTCTAATTGCTGGCCACATACGTGACAGGCTCTGTTTTCGCTGTCCACACTAATAGCTACTAATATGATGATGTTCCGTTTTCAATTGCTACACTTTGGACCGCGTTTTCAAATGAACGCGTTTATAGGGAAAACGATGAGTTTCTCTCATATCGTACTATTGTGGACGGTGACTAGGCGAAAACGCATCGAAACGTAGTCTAAAACGAGGCTCTTTACACGGGGGTTCTATAATAGAAAATGAAACCCGGAAGTTACTTATAAGACATTGGTTTAGTTAGCATATGTCGAACTTTGATAGTGATAATGGTTGTATGTTAAAAATAACTAGTGTTGGATATTGTAGGGGTTTTTGGTGCCTAGTTTAAGCAAAATTAAGCTGATCATGGTTTGTTGTAGGGTAAGAGTTTCAGTGACCAGTTACACACCCCTACCCAAAGATTTACAGAGTACCCCCCCCCCACTCGACCTCAGCCTCAGCATGTGGCTGAAACACAAAGAACAGTCGCTGTAGTGCTGTCTTTATGAGTAGTTCTTACTAGTATCATTACAGAAGAGCTAAGTTCACCCGCGGGTGGACTCCCATATAAAATGGACGAGGGTGCCCGACGGAACCTTTGAGAAGAACCCCTAAGAGCTACCAAGATTTTGTGGGTGTGGCTCAATTTTTTTTCCACCTCTAAGAGGTACTAATTTTGAGACAAAATTAAAAGTTAGTTGATTGTCAAATATCTCCTTTCATTTTTTTTCGGCTCAATACCCTCAAAGGTACGGCAAAAGCTCCCACTGTGGACATTTTGATGCTGAACACCTTTAGAGATACCAAAACCGCTTTTTTTAATTTAACCCCTAAAAGGTATGACGAGCAACCCTGTCCCTTTTATACGGTAGTGCCACTCCCGGGTAAGTTCATCCTTAATAGCAGACGCTAAATAAATGCCCACACATTGATTAATACAGCAAACACTTATTTTATTGAAAAATTCATGATGATAAAAATAAATACGAGGTTTGATGTTGAATCTAACAAAGGGAAGTGTGTATCAAGTTATCTACTTCGTTGGTCTGATATGATCATATTTCTTCGATAACCGGAGATAACGTTTCATTGCAGTTGTTATACACAGTAAATCTGACAGCTTTAGTCCAGCTCTCCCAAAATATTTCACTTTTGTTTGCTGATCTGACACCCGTAGGAACTATTCACCAACACTGAAACTAACACGTGTACAGGAAATTTTAAAAATGTCCTCCTTGATTTTGACAGGAAAGGGAAAAAAAGAAGCTAAAAAGATTCATACGTCGGAAAAGTTTAAAAAATATCAAACGAATCTCAACCTAGCATATGCAAACTCAGAATATAAACCACGCTTGTCAATACACACTAAATAATTATTTCCCCATAACTATTACACCTTTAAATATATATCCAATGAACTCAAATATCTAACCCACGAACAAACAAGGGCTCTCGCCATAAAAATGTGCAAATTATATGAAATACTTACTGCATGCTTAGTTCTTAAAGGAGCTGCGTCACGGTTTGCGCATCTTGAAAAGTTAAGCCTAAATTTTTCAAGTTCGTCGTTTGTAATCCGTGTTAAGCTTCTCCATCCGTAACCATCCTTGTTCCTTTATGGTTTATTATTATCTCTTTGGTGTTTTTCTATCTTATTTAACTACTATTTTCAGGTTTCCTTCAATTCAAAGGTAGTTTTTGATGTGGCTAAAATAACTCAAAACACCGTGACTGAGCTCCTTTAAGGACCTAAAATACCTTTCCACTAGCGAAAACGTTATATATCGATCGTATGTAACGGCTGGGTCATAACACTTTAGACGATTCACTGAGATTGTCTTCTCTATTTATGAGTAAAAGATCTGGTCAATTTTGAAAAAGATTTAAGTCACCCACCATCGAGCTTTTCCCGAGGTACGGTATAAACAGTTCCAATACAAATTTAAATGCTGTATGTTTTTCCTAATCTTCGATTCCGAGAGACTATGATGGTCTCTTGTCAATTCAAAATAGCCCAGTTTCCTTTTTGCTTGTTTGTTAGTCTGTTTGTTTGTTTGTTTGTTAGCTGCTTGATTAATCGACTGTTCCTTCGCAACGTCAACGTTTTCCATTTTCATGCCAATCTCTATTTATGCGAAAGTTACCTAAGATGTTATAACACAGCCCGTTTTAGTCTTAGTTAGATACAATACACTCATGATTAATTGGTAGTGCAAGTTCAAAACGAAAGATACCTTTCACTGCATGCCTATTGCATACGATTCGTTATAAGATAGTGTTCCTCTTCTAACGACAAGACCAGTGCATCTGGAACACTAGTAGAACTTCCTTGTGGCTGAGTAGCGGCCAGAGTACTTACGCCCGCCGCTGGAATAGGACGCTCTGTTACCAGACCCTCCAGAAACAGACGTACGTCCAGTGCTTGTGCGGTAGCTTGTACCAGAACTGCTTCTGTAAGTTGAAGGCTGAATGGAATACGTCGAGCGGTAACTAGTACCAACTCTTCCAGAATCAGTAATTCCCTCGACCTTGTCTGATATCAGCACGGTCTTGGTAGTTTTTGCGGTATCCTCGCTGCTCTGGAAGTTTCCTTCAGCCCTGGCCAGGTCACTGTCGAGCCCTGTTGATAAGGTTATGGTGCCGGTCTTGCGTACAACGTCGGTGCGTTCGCCATCGAGAACGGATTTCATTGGTGTGGATGTGGCACTAAACCGCAAAGCATCAGCACCACTGAATGCGGCATTGTTCACGGTGTAGGTGGATGCTGAACTGCTATAGGTAGCTGAGGGGGACTCCGCTGTTGAGGTCCGGTAGCGGTGAACTTCATATGTGGTCACAGGCTTGTAGTCTGCCTTCAACACCTCCTTCAGGCGGAGCTCCGCTTTCTCGTAGGCTTCGTCAGCGACAAAAATCTCTTTCTTTAAATTTTCAACCTTTTTCTGCAAGTGTCTGATCTTCAGGTCCAAATCACCAATAGCTGTATTCTTTTCCTGCATGGTCTTCTCGTAATACTCGTTCTCGGACTTCAATTCTCTATTCTCCTTCTCAATCTTGTAGATGTAGTCTTGTTTGTCAGCCATTCCACTGTTGACTTTGATGACCATCTCCTCCTCCAACTTGCTCTTTGCCAACATGACAATGTTGTATTCTTCTTGGAGCTTAGCAAACTTTGTTCTCAGGTTAAACAGCTCTTGTTCGATCTTCGTGTCATGTACAGGGGTCTCTTTTGCGATGCGGAGGTCACGCTTCAAGGACTCGACTTCAGCTCGAAGTGTAATCGCTTCTGAACGAAGCATCTGCAAAGCGGCATCTTTTTCCTTGATTTCTTCACGGTAAAGTCTTGCTTGATTGTCGATTTGAATGGACACTTCACGCTCGTTCTTTGTTCTCGTGTCGATCATTTGCTGGCGGAGGCTGTCTCTCTCTTGGCAGATTGCTTCATATGATCGTTGTAGGGTGACAAACTCGGCACTGCTGCGGATAACGGAAGGGCTTATTACTGATGATTCCTTCCTAACGCGTTCCACCTCTATCTCACTTCGCTGCTTAGTGGTCGTCAGGTCCCTCTTCAATCCTTCAATTTCTGCCTTAAATGTCATGATTTCGGTGCGAAGTCTCTTGATTTCTATTTCCTTCTCTCTAATCTCTTCACGGTACATTGTGATTTGGTTTTCATGCTCTTGGTCTCCCTTCATCTTGATATCTATAACCTGGCCTCTCAGTGTATCTCGTTCTTTGCAAACCTCTTCGTATGTGCGCTGTAAGGAGACGAACTCCGCACTACCACGGATGTCCGGGAACCTTAATGTGTTGACTTCTTTCTTGAGGCGTTCAATTTCCATCAAATAGACTTCCTGGTTGGCGAGGTCTCTCTTGAATCCGTCGATTTCAGCCTTGAATGCCATTCCTTCTGATCGAAGTCTGTTGATTTCTACTTCTTTCTCTCTGATCTCTTCGCGATAAATTTTCACTTGGCTTTCATGCTCTTGGTCTCCCTTCATCTTGATGTCAACCACTTGGCCTCTCAGTGCATCTCGTTCTTTGCAAACTTCTTCGTAAGTTCGGTGCAAGGAGATAAACTCTGCGCTGCCACGGATGTCTGGGAACCTTAATGTGTTGACTTCCTTCTTCAAGCGGTCTATTTCAATCAAATAGGCGTCTTGATTACCGAGATCTCTCTTTAATCTTTCAATTTCGGCCTTAAATGACATGCTTTCCAAGCGAAGATTTTCCATTGCTACTTCCTTCTCTCTGATCTCTTCACGGTAGATTCTGACTTGGTTCTCATGCTCTTGGTCTCCCTTCATCTTAATGTCAACAACCTGGCCTCTCAATGCGTCTCGTTCTTTACAGACTTCTTCGTAGGTTCGCTTTAAGGAGATAAACTCTGCGCTACCACGGATGTCAGGGAATCTAAGTGTGGTAACTTCCTTCTTGAGGCGTTCAATTTCAATCAGATAGGCCTCCTGGTTGCCGAGATCTCTTTTAAATCCTTCAATTTCAGCCTTGAATGCCATTCCTTCTGATCGAAGTCTGTTGATTTCTACATCTTTCTCTCTGATCTCTTCACGGTAGATTCTGACTTGGTTCTCATGCTCTTGGTCTCCTTTCGTCTTGATGTCAATAACTTGGCCTCTCAGTGCGTCTCGCTCTTTACAAACCTCTTCGTAAGTTCGCCGCAAGGAGATAAACTCTGCGCTGGCACGGATGTCTGGGAATCTCAGTGCGTTAACTTCTTTCTTCAGGCGTTCAATTTCAATCAGATAACCCTCTTGGTTGCCCAGTTGCCTCTTCAGACCATCTATTTCTGTCTGGTACTTCATGCTCTCCGACTGCAAGCGACTGATGATGGTTTCTTTCTCTCTTATCTCTGTGCGGTACGTTTCGGTGCGACTTTCTATCTGAACGATTAGGTCCCTTTCACTCTTGGATCTTAGCTCAGCAATCTGTCCACGAAGAGCATCTCTTTCTTTCCACATTTCTTCATACTGTTGCCTCAAGGAATCGTATTCTGATTTGCTGTAGAAAGTGCTTCGTTCCCTCTTCAATCCATCAACCTCTTCCATAAGAAGTTTGTTCTGGGACGAGAATCTTTCAATGGCCAGATCTTTCTCTTTGATCTCTTGTCGGAAACCATCAGTTTGGATTTGAATTTGAAAGGTTGTATCTTGTTCGCTCCTGGATTTGAAATCTGCAAACTGCCTCTGGATGTAATCACGTTCTCGGCAAACATCTTCGTAAGATCGCTTGACAGACTCGAACTCCACAATGCGTTTGTTTAATGCATTGATCTCGTTCTTCAGGCGGTCGATCTCCACCAAGTATCCATCTATCATATACTGCTTGCTGTCAGCTTCTCTCTTGAACGTCTCAAACTCTGCTTGGAACTTCATGTTTTCAGAGCGGAAGTTGCTAATGGCGACTTCTTTCTCCCTGATATCCTCACGGTAGACTCTGATTTGGTTTTCCACTTGGATAGCAAGTTCACGCTCGCTGTTGGATCTAAACTCAATCAGCTCAAGTCGAATGGCATCTCTCTCCTTCAACACGTCTTCGTACATTCGTTGCAGTGACTCGTATTCTGTGGTGGTGACCGTTGTTGACTTGAGTGTGAT